AGGACACACAAGGTTGGGCTCCCAGCGCCAGAGCAACAGGCAGGCAGGCATAAAATGGATGAACACAGGATAGACAAGAGCCACAAGGGTGTCTGCTAATAACAAGTTTCCTGTGTGAGGGACCCCTTGGTTGCAGGTTGGGCAAGTAGGCATTAGGCTGTTTCCCGGGTAAAAGAAGTGTCCGGTGAAAGACATACTGTAACCACCCATGTCTAGCTTCCCTTCATTTCCCTTTAGGACAGGGTTGCCAGCTGCTCTGGTACTGGAATCCCAATTTAGCTGGGGGCTCTCAAAGCACTAACACACTGTTTTATGTACCTTGACAATATTCCTTAAATTCAATGACCTTAAAATTCATGTGGAAGAGAAAATGCTCAACACAGCTGGAAACTGTGGAAAAGGTAAAAGGTTCATTTACAGATTCAGGTGGACATTAAAAAGGCTATGTACCTGGGCTTGTAAATTGAGTTCATTTAGTGCTGCTTGGCACTATGTTCTCTGCTTACTCTAGGGAACACTCTGAGAAAGTCATAGGAAATCTGATGTTATATTTGTCATAGGCTATTGCTATGAATGTTATTTCTAACACTATATATGAAAACCCATTGGAAAATATTTTCTTCAGAGAAATGTGCCAAGAAAGAAAACATAATTATCTGGGGAATTATTTTGCTTTATCCTCGCAGACAATGTCAATATTTTAACTGGTTGTCTATCCACTTACTATAATTTCCAGGAAGACTGAGTGCACATTTGCAGCTCAAAGTTATTCCAACTATGTGTAGATCCCTATTACTTGGGTATCAACTTATTGATTTTCTAAATTTCCTTTTGGACCTGATCTTCTATTCAACCTACATTTTCCTGACTATACATTTCCTTTTTATTACATGGATTTTGGGGAGATTTAAATGACTGAATAAACAGATGGATGCCTTACCTGGAAGGTGATCATTTTATGCAGCTCTTGGACCAAGATCTATGAAAGTAGAAGTGGAGAGAATAGAAAGACATGAGATACCTGGACTGCAATGTACAACTCTGTTCTATCAGAACAAAGTAAATTGCAGCCTCAGAAAATGCCACCTACTGGGAGAATGACATTTCTAGCAAGTCAGAAAAATCCAAGTTTCATAAGCACGGATCTCTACTTGTGATTCTGTTATGATAGAGCTTAGATAAGGATGTTGCACATTTCTGTTCTGCTGATCTAACACCAAGTTGTTAACCTTTGAACCGGTGTTTTTTTTTCCCTCTCAGAAATTTATCCTAAGGAAATAATGGATAAGTTAAAAGACTAAAATCTTGATCTCTAAAGCTCAGTAGGTCTAGAAATTATTCCTTCCTGTGATTATCTAGTCTCTGCTCTGAAGCTGGGTAAGAGATCTCAAATTAGGTTGGGCTTTCTTGGGAAAGCTAGATTCAGGGACCCAGGGAGTTTTTTTTTTTTTAAAGCTGCAGCCTTCAGTTTAGACTCCATTCTCTCTCTCTGGAAACTTACCATCTCTTATGAGCTCATTCTGGGCTTTTTGAAATTCCAACCAGCACTGCTGGGTCGCTAGGAAGGCTAAAACGGGCAAGAGGGACTCAGAGCTTCGTTTACACAGTCTTCAATAGATCTGCAGATACACCACAAGACTAAAAAATGACCACAAATTGCAATTTACTCAGCATTCATTGCTCAAATATTTTACAAGGAGAATAAACCCAACGTGATAAACCCAATTGCTGTGAGAACACCCTAAGAATGCATAACAGTTTCTCTAAAAATGCTTTCTTCCTGGATCCCTTGAAATGGCTTGAAATTTCCTGTGTCAGGCTCGTGTAGGGCCACCTGTCCTCTTAGAACCACGAAAGTTAAATGCACAAGAATACAAATTGAGCTGGACCCCGCCCCACTAGGGCTCTGGTAACCTACCCAGTGCCAGTGAGAGCTCTACTCCTGCTTTCTCAGAACCACTGCAGAGTGCGACAGGACTCACACACCCAAATACAAAGTTATCGCATTTGGGGGTTGTAAAGTTTTGTCTTCAGCCAGGTAAACCCACAAGACAGTCTCCGCCTTTCTCCCTGCCCTTCCATACGTCTCCCGAGTCCATACCTACTCTTCTGCCGCCTAGCTCTCAGCTCCGGGTCTAAGCCCGGGATCAGATTACAGCGTCGTCCAGGTACTAAAGGGGCAACCCCACCCTCCATTCACGCTGCGCAGGTCTGAAGATTGCAGAATACCGCCTACGGCCCTACTGCGCGTGTGCGGAAGTAACTGCTCACCTAGAGTTCCCAGGCTCCTCCGGGGTGTAGGCTAGCCATCGGAGACCACATTTCCCATAAAGCCTGTGGAGCTCTTTCCCGGAAAACGTCAGAAGCTTTTTCCTCCTTTGGGGAGATTCTTGGGTTGGTATCACTAGGGATGGCCCGAGAGCTGCGCACGTAGCTATGCACAAAGATAAGCGTACACATCATTTTCATTTGAAAAGACAGACATAAGAATTTTTAAATTCTGGAAAGTCGAAATCAACAGTATGCTAAAAGAATAATTTACTCTTACTCAGTAGGGTTTCTAGCAATACACTAGATTAGGTCAGGGAGATGTAGAGGACCCAACAAAGAAGACTGAGAGAGAATAATCGGTGAGGTAAATGTAAAAGTACGAGGTTTGGATCTGAAAAACCAAGGGAAGAAATTATTACAAGAAGTAGAGAGGACCCACCGTGTCAAATGCTGCTGATAGGTCAAGTACGTTGAAAACTAAGGATTAACCAATTGCATTTAGCAATGTTTAGGTCACTAGTGATGTTGAAACGCCATTATAGCGAAACGGTGGAAGTTTGATAAAGTCTGATGAGAGTTTGTAAAAGTGGGAGTAAAGAACGGTAAGCAGAGTTCATAAGTACAGGTGCAGATAGGTGGGCAGATTTAGTGTTAGGAAAATGAGGGAAAAGTACACTTGAGTACTTCTGATTTCTCAGTGAAACAGGAAGCTGAAAGTGAAGATAGGGAGAAAGTATTGGAGGTCTGAAGAAAGAAAAAATAATGCTGTATTAAATTGATTCTGATACATTGTTTCACATTTCAACATCTGTGAAATTGCTATCTTACATCACAGTCTAATTAGCAACATTGTTCTTATTAGTACATAAAATAATGATACATCTTATAATCAATATTATCTAAGAGTTTGTAAAATGTTAGTTATTTAGGAATGTGGAAAAGTGAGTGGATTAAGGAAATGTAGTACTATTGCCTGGCACCATTAAGAACACACTTGATATTAGTTCACCTTACTGACATGTTCAATGTGAATATTAGTGATATTAATTCACCCTACTGGCATGTTCAATGTCATAGACATATTTTTATATCTGCAAAAAAATTCTTTCTTGACCTATAGCCCACTTGAGCAATGCTTTCATTTCCCAGCCTTCCTTCACAGAAAATTTTCTCTAAAGAGTTGCTTCTTGTTGCTGCCTATGCTTTCTTACCTCCAGTTCTCTCTTCAGTACACTCTCATTGGCTTCTTGACCCTAAACTCTCTTGAAACTGCTTTTGTTGAGTTACTAATGAAGTTCACTTGACAAATTAAATGGATTTTGTCCTCACTATATTTAACTTCAACAACATTCAACAAAATTGAAATACTTCCTTCTCATGTTTTCTAGAACATCTCATGCAGCTAGTTTCCCCCACCTCACTGAGACTACTTCTATATATCTTTTACTAAATACCCTTCCTCTATTCCACCTCCAAATGTTGGAATGCTCAAGGGTTTGGCCTTGGGCCTTTTCTTTTTGAAATGTGTTCTCTCTCTAAATGATCTCATTAGGTCTCATGGCTTTAAATACCATTTATGTGATAATGAGTGACAAATCTTTATTTCCAGACCTCATCTCTCCTCTCAACTCCAGACCCTAATTTCTTATACCTACCTGAAATCTCTCCTTGGATATCTAAAATTGACCATCAATTTCACTTGTCCAAACCAAACTCTTAATTCCTGGCCACCAACCAAGCACTTCCTAGTTCAGTTAACTCACCATCATACACCTGGTTACACAAGCAGAAACTTAGAAGCCATTCTTGATTCCTCTTGTTCCTTTTCCTTTCTCTCATAGTATATATGTTCTATGAGGGCATATATTTTTGTTTGTTTTGTTTATGACTGTATCTCCAGAGCCTAGCACACAATAGGTGCTCAATAAATATTACCACCTCACGTTCATTAGAATGGCTGCAACCAAAACAAAACAAAACCAGAAAATAACAAGTGTTGGTGAGAATAGAGAGAAATTGGAACCCTTGTGCACTGTTTGTAGGAATGTAAAATGGTACACCCACTGTGAAAAACAATATGCCAGTTTTCCAAAAAATTAAAAACAGAATTACCAAATGGTTCAGCAATTCCCTTTCTGGACATACACCAAAAGAAATGAGAGTAGGGTCTTGAAGAGATATTTGTACACCCATGTTCATAGCAGCATTATTCACAATAGCCAGGTGGAAGCAACCCAAGTGCCCAGCGATGAATGAATGGATAATCAAAATTCAGTATATACACACAATGGGATATTATTCAGCCTTAAAAAAGGAAGGAAATTCTGACACATGCTACAACATAGATGAACCTTGAGGACATTATGCTAAGTGAAATAAGCCAGTCACAAAAAGACAAATACTGTATGATTCCACTTACACGAGGTACTTAGAGTAGTTAAAATCATAGAGACAGAAAGTACAATAGTGGTTGCCAGGGGTGGGGGGGAGGGTAGAATGGGGAGTTATTGTTTAATGGGTATAGAGTTTCAGTTTTACAAGTTGAAAAGAGTTATGGAGATGCATGGTGGTGATGGCTGCACAATATTATAAATGTATTTAATTCCACTAACTGTACACTTAAAAATGATTAAGATGGTAAATTTTGTTATATGTATTTTATCAGAATAAAAAATATTGGGGAAAAATATAATTTAACTGTTTAAAGTAATGATAATAGAGTGTTTGGGGGATTTATAACATATGTATAAGCAAAACATATGAAAATAATAGCACAAAAGCCAAGGAGATATAAGTGCAATTCTACTGCTGTATAGTTCTTATACTCTGATAAGCAAAGTGGTATAATGTACCTTGAAAAGTAGACTCTGATAAGCTAAAGAGGTATTCTAGAAACTACTAAGGCAACCACTGAGACAAAATAAACATATACGAGAGTACTTCAAAAAGTTCATGGAAAGATTTGTTATCATTTAATTCTATTTTCTATGAACTTTTTGAAGTACCTTCCTATAGCAAATAACCCAACAAAGGAGATTAAGATGAAATCTTAAATACTTAATCCAAAGGAAGGTAGACAAGGAGGGAAAAAGGAACAGGAACAGAAGGAATAAGTAGAATAAAACTTAGCAAGATGGAAAATTTAAACCAGTTATATCATTACATTAAATGAAAATTTTCTGAGGATCCCAGTTAAAAGGAAGTGATCATCAGATTGTATAAAAAAGTGATACCCAAATATGTGCTTCCTAAAAGAAACTGACTTTAAATATAAATAGGCTTTGATATCAGGTTAATGTTGGCTTCATAGAATGAGTTAAAAAGTGTTCCCTTATCTTTAATTTTTTTGAAAAATTTGAGAAGGATGGGTTAGGAGTTCTTCTTTAAATGTTTGATAGAATTAACTAATCAGTGAAGCCCTCAGACCCAGGGCTTTTCCTTGTCAAAGATTTTTAATTTATTTTTATTTTTTTATTTTTTCCTTTTTGTCTTTTTTCGTGTCTGGCAACGGATCGCAACCCTCAGTGTCGCGCCCATACCGGACTGGGACCGGCAACGGGATCGCAACCCTCGGTGTTGCTCCCACACCTCGCTCAGCCAGTGAGCGGGAACCGGTCTGTATGTGGGATCCGAACCCTCGGCGGGAGCGCCACCGCACTCTCAAGCGGTGCACTGTAGCAGTGCGCCACCAGGCCGGCCCAAGATTTTTTATTTTTTATTCAAACTCATTACTAGTTGTAGTGCAAGAAAGTTCTCTGCATGGCCTCGGACCTACCTGGTTCTCCCCACTTTCTCACTTGTAGTTCTCAGTAAGTGTAGAATGTGCTGGGAATGCAACATCCCAATATAAGGAGGAGCCACCAGGCTCTGTTCCTGTCCTCTCCTAGAAATAAGGTGTCTTTTAACATTTTAGTCAAGCTTGTCATGTAGTCCCCATTGTATAAAATCCAGGGTTGGCTTGCTTTCCAAGGTCCTTCAGCTGCAGTGCAAGTGTGGCATGCACAGACAAGCCCCATCCACCCTGGGCATCTTTCCTGAGCCTTGGGGACTGGATTGCCCTGCATCCTATGCTTCGTTTGTTCCCTTGCTGCCTATCTGTAAGCAATACATGCACTTGATGTAATTTGTTTCTTGTGAGAGTGTTCTGTTTCACCAGGCTCGTGAAAGTAACCAGTGCACAATGAATCTGCTTTACATATAGGTCTATTCACATTTTCTATTTCTTCATGATTTAGTCTTGGTAGGTTTGTGTTTCTACGAATGTGTCCATTTTATCTAGAATATCCAATTTTTTGACATACATTTGTTCATAGCACTTAAAATTTTTTTATTGATTACATATATTTGCGGGGTACAGAATTGAATATCAATACATTGTATACAATATGTAGTGATTAAATCAGAATAATTAATATATTCATGTATAGAAAACATAATCAATCTTTGTGATGCAACTAGTTTCTTGCCAACCCACCTGTCCCCCTTTCCCATCTCTAATAACCACAGTTCTGTTTTTTATTGAAAGTTTAATTTATTACTGTGATTGTTTCTTTCTCTGTTTTCTTTTTTTCTTTATTTTAGCTCCCACTTATGAGTGAGGACATGCGGTATTTCTCTTTCTGTGCCTGGCTTATTTCACTTAACATAATTTTCTCTAAGTTCATCCATGTTGCTGTGAATGGCAGAATTTCATTTTTTTTTTTTATGGCAGAGTAGTATTCCATTGAGTATATATACCACATTTTCTCTATCCAGTCATCTGTCAATGGACATTTAGGGTGGTTCCAACTCTTGGTTATTGTAAATAGAGCTGCGATAAACATGGGAGTGCAGGTATTCCTTCGACATGATGATTTCTATTCCTTTGGGCATATATTCCGTTTGTATGGCAGTTCTATCTGTTGTTGTTTGAGGAACCACCATACTATTTTCCATAATT